AATTAGTTATTTCACTTTTATATATTTTTATAATTATTTATTTCACTTTTTGTAATTTTGAAAAATGTATAAATAGAAGTGCTGTCTGAGTCTTAACTCAACATGTTATAATTGAAAATAAAAAAATCTCTCTTAACAAAAATCTTCCTCCAAATACTTCCTGGCTCTCATATTTTCTTTATACACTTTAAATCTTGTGTATAAGTAGTCTTATATCATATTGAACCTATCAAATTGCTAACAGATTTATATCATATTGCACTGAGCAAATTACTATTATTGACTTTGGACTTTATATCGTATTGTGCTGAACAAATTATTATTATTGAATTATTAAGCTTTTTATCATATTGTGCTGAATAAATCATTATATGAAATTATTGAAATTGGATTTATAAGTATTTTTACTTTTTGTTATTTTGAATTTTTAATTGTTAATAAATATTCCTTACTCGTGAGAAAAACAAAGTGAAAGTGTCTTTATTATTATTATTACTAATTATATTATCTTAGTTCTAGAAAGCTTTATGTAAGTATAGAATTATTCTTTAAATTCTCTTTATTATTTCTTTACTCTTTCTTCTCTTTGATCTTTACTTTTTCACAACTCTTTCATATTATTATTTCTTTTCAAGTAAATACAATTTTCATAGAAATTGGTATAGTCCTTAAATATTCCTCTTTTCTTTTAATATTTCCTTTGTCAGTTTATATCCTCTCCCAATTCAGGTTCTTGTTTGTAAACTAATTTAATGATTAGTGAACAAACTTTTAACAATATATATAATACAAATTTTAATATTATTGGAACCGAAGAATTATAAAGAAGAATAATTTAACTATTAAATACCTTAATTTACCAGAACAAATACACTTAATTACCAACTATTGCTAATTAAAAAAATACTTGAAGACTTTCATAATTTAGAATTTGAAGAAAATTCTAATATATCTAATGGTTATTACTCTGAGATAGCCAATAATATTAAGATAACTGAGGATTAACTTATAATTATTAAAGAAGAACCAGTAGAAGAACAACAAGGTATTAACTTTCAAGAACAGTTAATTATTCAAACTGATACAAGAATTAAATTCTGAATCAGAAGAAGTTACTAAAGAATTAGATAATGAAATAATGGTCAATTTAAATGATGTTTTCAATAAACTAAATGCTTTCACTGCTATTCTTATTGTTGGATTGAGAACTAGAGTTCTGAAAAAAGTTTGGTTCAGTTCAAGCTTGAACCTAATGAAAAATCTGGTTCAAAAATTTGAATCTAATTAAAAGTCTGGTTTGAGTTCAGTTCAAATTTTGAACCAGACTCGAACCTGATCAAAAGTTCAGTTTGAGTTCAAGTAATTGTTAGTTAATGTTCTAAGTAAAGTTATAAATCGTAACATGAGCTACAAATTGATATAAGATAGTTAATATTTAAGATGAATATTTAAGAAGTTATATGAATTTAAAAAATAATTTCAAAGTTAACAAAGTAGATTACATATATAATATCTTTTTTTGACTGTTTTTCTCTTACTTATATTCACTAACATACCACAATCTACTAATAAAACACTGTTAAATATAAGTGTTGAGGGTTCAATCAGATGGAAGCAACATAATTGTGAATATTTTGTGTCAAGCTATCGAAAAACAAGCAAATAGTAAAAGTGACGTTGGTTCAAATGTACCTCAAGGAGGTGAACTTAGTGTTGATTTGTCACCAACTGAATTCAGACTAGTGATGCTTGGGCAATTATTAGATTAATTTATTATTTGCAAGTATCTAAAAGAAAACATTTACTCATTTGTCAATTTTTTAGAATTGCATTTGGTGCATGATTGAAAATAAATTAATTATGTCATTTTTTGATTTTTGGGTGATAGAATAAAAAAGATAAGAGATGAGCAGTTGCAACCCATTAAATTTGATTGAATGCAATTTTAGCTAAAGCCGATTGCTTACGGTAAAATTTCGGACGAAAGCCACATTTCTTTTTGCGATTGTAGTCTTTGAAATAGGAAGTCTATCATGTGGTCCCGCTCCAAATATCATTTCTATGATTATATTTCGTGCCATCGCCGTGTTGGTGGTGGTGGTATTTTCAGTTTGGCAATGATTATCATTGCGGAGTGGTAAATTTCAAGGACTTATCAGTGTAGTATTTAGTATCGTGTCTTTAGCTTTGGCGGTGCATTCACTGATAACGTCATTGAAGATGGTGTTTCTATATTAATTTACTATTCGGAGCAATTACGATTGCCACAGTTGTATTCTTTCTTCGACTTTCAATGCCAAAAAGAGGACTCTTGGAAAATTGATTGGTGGGGAACTTTGGTTATAGTCATTGCCGCCGTTGCTATATTACTTCCATTTAACTGGGATGGTGTCAAATATGATTGGGATAGTGCGGTTATTATCGTATTATTGGTGCTCTTCTCTTCACCTTGTTTGGTTATATTGAAAGTTGAGTTACTGAGCCAGTTGTTCCAGGTCGTCTTTTTAAAGATCGAGGCGTTCTCACTTGTTACGGAACTAATTTCTTCCAGGGTATTGCCTTCTTTGCAATGATCTATTAATCCCACATATTTCCAGGTTGTCAAAGGTGAATCAGCCACTTCTTCAGGATTGGAACTTTTACCATATATTATGGGCGTAGTTCTTGCTGCTATCGTATCAGGACAACTTATTGCGTGAACTGATAAAAATCTCACAACAAGTGATTTGTATCGTTGTTGCTATATATATGACAGTTGGTGTTGCTCTTACTAGTCTTTTGACTGAAGATTCTAACCGCAGAAAACAAATTGAATACATATTGGTTCCTGGTGTCGGTGTTGAATTAATTATGCAAACAACTTTACTATTTGGTCAATCTGCCGTTGAGTATGTTGATGTCACTTCCATTTACTTATATATTAAACTTTTTCCAATCAAGTAATTCAGTTCATTTATTTTACATTCCTAAAAAAATGCTTATCTCTAACATTTTCGATTTGCTTGTAACAATATTTAACAATAAACTGACCTTTAATATAGAAGATCTCAACATCGGTGTTCCAATCGCAGTGTTTGACTAGTCCTCACGTGGGTTCTTGTAGCTGTGATACAAATGCCGCAGATTGTTTGATGTCACATACGTCGAAGTGCTTGATTACGCCTTTAAAATCGTGATAATTTTCGGTGGATTATGTTTCTTGTGTACATTATTTATTGGGGGAAATAGATTAAAGAAGTATACGGGTCGGTGATGACCTTATAAAAAGACAATGACAACTTTAAGTTGGGACAATTATTATTGTTTAGATTTTTTATTTTAAGACTTTAAGACACAACGACGACTTTAAATTGGAATAATTATTATTATTTATTTATTTTCTAAATTTCGCGAAGAACTTGTCTTCCTTAAAAGCATTTTTTATTCAGCTAAGATTCATAACACATTCATATCGATATTTAATTTATTCATTCGAACAAATCACGAAAAAAGAAACTCCTTTTGGAGCTATATTTTTTGTGTAAATAGTAACAATAAATATAAGATCATGTATCTGTAGTATTTAATATATTTTATAAAAATAAATCGTTTTTATATCTGTATTTAAAGGAAATATACCGAACTGTCAAAGTATTTGGCAACCTTGAAAAATATTGTTATTGCTTAGGAAACGTCAGAGATTACCGTTACCTGTTTTTAATTAGCAAATCCATTATAAAAAATGTTCTCTATCAAACTACATGTCAATTTTTAGTTAAATCAGTAAAAATCGAAATTTCAATATTCGGGGATTCCTATAGCAAACACTGATTTAACTAAAAATTGACATGTAACGGGTAGTTTTATAGAGAACATTTTTTTATTAATATTAATAGGATTTGCTAATTAAAAACACGTGATATCTGACGCTTCCTAAATTTTTTTGCTTTAACGTTGACGTTACCTTGGCTCACGATTAATGCAATATCGATATGCTAATGTAATTGAAATTGCATTAATTATTTTTATAACTAATTCTTGCTAGTGTCACTTTATAAAATATCATTAGATTTTGCAATGTTTAGTATCCACAAAAATTTTAGTTTTTGAATGTGGATCTAATTACTGTTGAATCTTCTATATGGTTTCAATATTTTTAAGTTTGAAATTAATTGAATCTGTTATCATACATTCTTTAAATTAACATGATCTTGAATAAAAGAATTCAAA